TACACCATGGAATATTATGCAGCAATCAAAAACAATGAGTTCGTGTCCTTTGTAGGAACATGGATGAACTTGGAGAACATCATTCTCAGCAAACTGACACAAGAACAGAAAATGAAATACCACGTTCTCACTCATAGGTGGGTGTTGAACAATGAGAACACATGGACACAGGGAGGGGAACACTACACACTGGGGTCTGTTGGGGGGAATAGGGGAGGGACAGTGGGGGGTGGGGAGTTGGGGAGAGATAGCATCGGGAGAAATGCCAGATATAGGTGAAGGGGAGGAAGGGAGCAAATCACACTGCCAGGTGTGTACCTATGCAACTATCTTGCATGTTCTTCACATGTACCCCAAAACCTAAAATGAAATTTTAAAAAATACAAAAAAATAAAAATTAAAAAAGAGATACCAAGACAGAGAACTTCTGTAGACCCCACGCAAGAGTCAGGGTCTACAGAATGAGGGAGCTATGTAGGCCCACCTTCAAGTTGTGCAGCACCCAGAATACACTGAGAGGAGAGCCATAGCTGTGTCTTTGAAGCTGGTCTCTGCTAGTGAAACAACACCTTAGAAGAAACATAGCCCACTTGGAAATCCTAACTCCCCACAACAAGATTTTACAAGTTTCGTGATAGATTAACACACACCTCAGCTTGGGCTGATTAGCAGTGCTGGAATCCTAGATCTAGCTCATGCTGTTTCTCCAGTCTCTTCCCAGGGGTGGTCCAAGATGTCAATTCGGGTTCTACTCCTTGACTAGGAGGCCAGTGAAAGCTCCAGCAAAATGGATAAAGACAGAAGTGAAGGAGTAATCCAGAAACCCAGATGGAACCCAACTCGCACCCTCCTAGTCCCACGTGTAGGGAATTCTAGAACTTGCCCAAGGTCTGAGCTTTGGTAGTAACGTCATCAGGCATCAAGTCGCATCAGCTGTTGTCCTATAACATTCAACAAGAAAGAAGTAGAGAGACCTGTTTTGAGTATACTTAAGCCATCTGAGCCTCAGTTTCTTTCTCTTTTTTTCAAGAAAGAAGTAAAGAAAGAAAAGAATGGCTGGCTACTCCATAGACAGAACAGCTGAGCCTGTTTCTTTTCCTGCAAATTATCTGTATTTCAGGCTTGGTGTTAGGATTAAGGAGATAAGATCCATAAAATACTTAGAATAATGTCTGATGTACAAAGGCATCCAATTAATATTCCATTTTCTTCCTGCCACTCCCATTGTCCAAGTCACCACTGTGTCCCTTTACTGTATTGCCTCTTTCGTACATAATGGTTTGAAGTTGAAACTGGGTTATTTCCCAGGGAGATAAGTCTTAACTTCAATAACTTTCGCATGTAAGTTTGACGTCCATCTCCGGAGGCAATGTGTATCAGGAACATGGATATTGCAAACAAACTACCAAACTGTCCCACAGCTAACTTTGTAAACTTAAGGAAGTTACTTGATTACTTCATGCCTTCATCTTTGCTTCTGTAAAGTAGGCATAGTAGGTATACCTGCCCCACACAAATAAACTTGTTAATGTGTTTTAAAGCCTATATTGTTTCATTATTATTATCATCTTCTTTAGAATTGGAAAAAGGTAGAAGAGAATCACGTCTCAGTGTCCCGAGCATGAGTCAGCAACTGTGGACGAATGTACAAGAGGAGGGCAGAGCTTCCCAGACCACACCCACTCAACTAAACCCTGAACCCTGAACATGCAGTTGTTGTGCATTTATTCTGTATGTTGAGCTTAGCTTGGGTAGGAGAGGTGGTAGGAGATGAATTAAAACACAGTAGCAGTGTTACTTTAAGCAAATAATGTAATATCAGTGACTCTCAATTGATTTGAGTTTTAGATTCATTATTTCTAGTTATTTCCTGATCTAAAAATGACTTTGATTCTACGGACAAAAGATCTCTTGAAAGTCATCTTATCCAGAAACTTTAGTCCCAGTGTTTGAGCCAATGTGACCAAAACGAAGATCAATGGCTGGCCCATAGATATTGCCCCAGGTGGCCTCTGTGACCTATTGCAGGATAGGCAAAAGACCCTTGACTATAGTCTTTTGATCTTCATTAAGTCATAAGGGCACACTGAGAGCACTGAGAAACATGTATCATACAAACTAAGTATCACATTAGCAGACCCTACTAGGAATTAACAAAGAATTAATATTTTCATAAGATCAAGATTTATTCTGGCCTTATTTTCATATATACCAGTGTATTATGTCAAAATTTTATTCTTTTATTCAAAGCATACTACAATATGCACCATTTTTGTTCCTCCTCCTCCTCCTTCTCCTTCTCCCTCTCGCTTTCCTTCTCCTCTTCCTCCTCTTTCTCCTTCTTCCTCTCCTCCTCCTTCTTCCTATTCCTCTTCCTCTCCTCCTCCTCTTTCTTCTTCTTCCTCTTCCTCTTCCTCTTCTTCATTTTAATACAGTGGAAGTAGCTCACTCTTGACTTGTGGCAAATCCGTGGGGTCTCTCCCAAGGATTGTTGCCTCACTCCCTGGCCAGCTCATGGCTTGTCAAGAAATTAGACGCCAGACACCTGTTATTAGGAGAAGGAAACCTGTGAGAGAGTGTAAGAGAAGGTGATGCCCCAGATGCTTGAAACTTTTTTCATCTGTCCCTTATTACAAGCTCTTTTAGGGAAGGGCCTCTGTTTCTGTGCCCTTGCATCAACACATGCTAGTTACTCATCAGGCATTTGTTCAGTGAAATTAAGCTGAACTGGAGCTGTCATGAATCTTAGGGTGATAAAAATGAGCTCTTTGAGGGTGGGGAAGGGGTCTCATATGCATCTTTCTGGCTTTTGATAGACACTCAAATTCTACTCCCCTTTACGTGGTTGACAGCTACTCCTTCTAAGCATACTCTTCTTTCCTGGCTTCTGTGAGATTCAAATCTCCTGGTTTTCCTCCTAACTCCGAGTGGTGCTTCTTTATCCCCTTTGTAATTATTTCTTCACTGCCAAATCTCAGGGCCTTAGAGCTTGGGTCTCCTCTCTGCACTTGCTAACCTCATATTAACTTATATACTCATATCTTTAAATGTCACCAATATGCTGATAACTCCAGAATGTGTATCTTTAGCCCAAAGTCACAGAACTCTGGATTCTTACTTGATATTTGGGTGTCTCATAGGTATCCCAAACAACACATAGAAACAGAATACTTCATTTGTACTGTCCTTTCCTTACCCAAACCCAGCCCTACCCCAGTCACTGCCTACCACCAGCGTCACCACCTTCCACAAGGTTCATCAAGCCAGAAACCCAAGCATCATCGTTGATTCCCTCTCTCCCCCCAGTACTCATGTCTAATCCTTTGGCAACTCCTGTCAATGTTCCCTCCTAAAACACTTTTAATTTCAGTTACTTCTCTCATCTCTGTGGCCACAGTTCACCAAGTCACCATCCTTTTTTGTCTGGACTTCCGCAGTAGCCTCCTCAGCAGGCTTCCTGCTTTCAGGCCTGTCTCCCTTTGCTTCATTCACCACATAATAGTCAAAGTAGTCTTTAAAGAAAAGGAAAGTTGCACACTCTTATTCCTTAAGTGCTTCCAACATCTACTCCTTGTACTAGGAATAAAATCCAAACTCCTTACCATGTCCTAGAAGACTAGGAATGATCTCACCTTCTACTTGCCCCACATTCCATAAACCAGCTGTGTCCTCCTTTTCTTCATTCTTCACCTAAGCCAAGCTCCTCCCCTCCCTCTGCCCAGATCACCTTCCCCAGCTCTTCAGATGTCTGACTTCTCCTGTGCCAGGTCTCCCCTCAGACCCTCAAATGTCACCCCCTAATGTTGCCCTTACTCCTTTCCTGGTGTTCTCTGCTATTGTATGTTGTTTGTTCATGGTACTTACACGGATTGTGAGTCTAATTGTGTACATTTATTTGGTTTTTGTTGTTGTCGTTGTTTATTTTTATCTAGACCATAAGCTCAAAGAAGACAGGAACAATGGGTATCTTGATCTTCACGGGGCTCCGTACAGTGGTGTCTGACAGATATAAGGCATTTACTAAATATATATATATAGGAAGAAGGCAGGGAGAGAAATGGATGGAGAATGAGGGAGGTGGGAAAGAGAGTAAGAGATAGAGTGAGAGAGAGAAGAAGAGGGAGGGAAAAAGAAAAGGAAGGAGAGATGGAAAAGATAGAGAGGAAGGAGAAAGAAGGTCTTTTAGATCAACATCATCATAAATATGGTAGATTTTTGCTTAGAGCAAAGGGTAAAAATGAGGCCAAAAAAAAGTACCTAGAATTATTTTTATTATTATTTTTTTTTTTGGCAAAAGCATCTACCTTGTGCCAAGCGTTTTCTAATCATCTTTAATAGCCCTACAGAAAAAAACATATTAAAATTTCATGTTATTGGTGGAAAAAAAAAAAAAACTCTGTAAAGTTAAGGAACTTACCCAAGACCTGACAGCTGGTTCTGAATGTGAGGTGCCACATCATCCCCACTCCCCGACAGGTCTTTTTTTTTTTTTTTTTTTTGAAAGGAGTCTTAGGCTGGAGTGCAATGGCACGATCTCGGCTCACAGCAACCTCCACCTCCTGGGTTCAACTGATTCTCCTGCCTCAGCCTCCCAAGTAGCTGGGATTACAGGTGTCCACCACCATGCCCAGCTAATTTTTTGTATATTTAGTAGAGATGGAGTTTTATCATGTTGGCCAGGCTAGTCTTGAACTCCTGACCTCGTGATCTGCCCACCTAAAGTGGCCTCCTAAAGTGCTAAGATTACAGGCATGAGCCACTGCTCCCGGCCCTTCCCAACAGTTCTTACATCTCCTCTAGATCAGTGGTCACTAAGCAGCCTACCTCCGTCACAGTGTTATGTGGGCAATCATTCACAACATTTTTATTTGATTTTTTTTTATTAAATACTATTTGAAAGAACCTGTTAAGGACCAACACATTTGGACTAAAAAAGATAGCTGAAACTGCTGAAGTGTTAGAGTGTGAAGCAGAAAGGGAGTCCCACCCCACCAGACAACTAGGGAAGCTGAAGTTGACTGGCTGGCTTTTCATGAGGAAGGAGGAGTCAGTTTCCATGGCATGGACACAACACTCTGGATGGTGAAGACTGCCTGCCAGCACAGAGCTCGTCGAATTTCACACGATACAGTAAGTGTTTTCATATTACCCTCTCTTATTTACTATAGTTATTAAAGATCACTCACATGTATTAGAACTGATATTTATTGACAACTTTGCACTGGATTTCCTATCTTTCTGGTAGAGAAACATCTAGTGCATTTAATCAAATCCAGTGCATTTAATCAAATTCACAAGGATTGGTTGCTAAAAGAATCAATTGATACTCATTTTAGTAGTCAAGGCTAGGCTAGTGAATTGTATATTTTTCTGCAAACAAATGTTGTTTTTGCTTTGTAGAAAGCCTCTAATTAATACTTATTTGTTTTTTAAAAGCAGCTTTATTAAGATACAATTCACATACCATAAAATTGGATTTATTTAAAGTATACAAGTCAGTGGGTTTTGGCATTTTGGAGTTGTGAATGCATCTAATCTAATTTTAGAACATTTCACAACCCCAAAAACAAATCCTGTACTTATCAGCAGTCACTCCCCACCCCAGCCTCCATCCCAGCCCTAGGCTGCTTATAATCCACATTCTAGCTGTCTAGATTTTCTTATTCTGGGCATTCCACATACATGGAAGTATAGAATATGCGGTCTTCTGTAACTAGCTTCTTTTACTTAGCATGTTCCAGGATCCATCCATAAAGCATGTATCAGTACTTCATTTCTTTTTATTGTCAAATAATAATCCATTATATAGATATTCCACACTGTGTGTATCTATTCATCATCTAACAAACCTTTGGGATGTTTCCACTTTTGCCTATTATAAATAATGCTTCTACAAACATTCATGTACAAATGTTTATATGGATATATGTTTTTCTTCTCTTGGGTATACAGCCCATCGGAATACTCTGACTTTCCCATTTCAAAACTTACTACAAAGCTACAGTAATCAGGACTGTGTAGTACTAGCATGAAGATAGATATTTAGAGCAATGGAGTAAAGTTGAGAGTCTAGAAAAAAAACCCTTACATTTATGTTCAATTGTTTTGTGACAAATATGTCATGCATAAAAGTCAACTCAAAATAAAGTAAGACTTAAAACTATAAAACTCTCAGAGGAAAACACAGGAATAAATTTCTGTGAAGGAGAAGACCAACTTCATTCTTTTACGTGTAGATATCCAGTTGTCTCGGCATCATTTGCTGAAAAGACTATTACTTTGTCACTGAATTGTCCTGACATGCTTATTGGAATCAGGAAGTGTGAGTCCTCTAACTTTGTTCTCTTCCAAGATTGTTTTGGGGGCCTGGCACGGGGGCTCAGGCCTGTAATCCCAGTACTTTGGGAGGCCGAGGCGGGCAGATCAGGAGGTCAAGAGATTGAGACCACCCTGACCAAAATGGTGAAACCCCGTCTCTACTAAAAAATACAAAAAAGTTAGTCGGGGCATGGCGGTGCATGCCTGTAGTCCCAGCTACTCGGGAGGAGGAGGCAGGAGAATTGCTTGAAACCGGAAAGTGGAAGTTGCAGTGAGCTGGGATTGAGCCATTACACTCCAGCCTGTCTCAAAAAAAAAAAAAAAAAGATTGTTTTGGTTCTTCTGGGTCCCTTGCATTTCCATATGATTTTTTAGAATCAGCTTTTCCATTTCTCTGGAAATAAATTTTGATGCACGATGCTTCCACTTGTATTGCAACTCACCCCTGGGAAGTTATGGAATCTTGGCATGAATTCAAATGTGGGACAAACGGAGTTGGTTGAAGTATAAACCTGCTTAAAGCCTTCTATGAAAGGGAAGCAAAAGACTTCTAGATACTGATTTTAAAATGGTTTTATTTTTGCGGCACCTTCAGATTAAAAACACTCTAGCATTTTTGTTTACTATTTTATCAGTGATCAAACACTCCAGTGTAAGGGATTTCTATTAAAATCAGTTTTAAAAGTAAAATGCAGTCTGTGCCATCTTCTCTCTTACCTAACATCGTATGTACAGAGCACACCTGTTTCACAAAACATGTCCAATCCTTGTCCTGCACACCCAAAGATTCTGATTCCTTTTGGACTGAGGCCTAGGCGTCTATTTTAAAAAATCTATTGCTGATTCTCATATAGCCCCTAAGCTGGGAACAGCTGCCACATCTTTACTCCCTCTTCAGCTCTCTAATCTTGCTTCCCGCCAGTCTACACCCTACTTTTCAGTCACAGAGACATTGCTACTCAGAGGGTCATAAGTGAGCTAGAAGTGTTGTGAGAACTTGTTACAAATGCAGAATCTCAGGTTCCAGGCCTACGAAATCAGAATCTGCATTTTAACAAGATTTCCAATGATTTGTATACATCAGACGTTGGCACACTATGGTCTTCAGGCCAAATCTGGCTCACCCTATTTTTGTAGGCCCGTGGTTCACCACTTAAGGTGTTGAACCTCCATGGGCTAGCACAGTGAGACTCTCAGGGCAAGGCCCTCTGTCTGGGTCCCCATCAAGAGTTTCAGATTCAGTAAGGCTGAGGCTGAGCCCAGTAATTTGCATTTCTAACAAGTTCCCAGGGGCTATTGTTCGTCACAGTTTGTGAAGTTGACTCCAGCTCCTCCTTGTGATCCCAACTTAAATCTTGAGATCAGAGACAGTCCCAATGGTCCCATCTCAAGTGGCACTCTCTCCACTCTCATTTTCTATCTCAGCCCCTTATTTGTCTACGTCAGCAGCTCTTAACCTTTATGCTCTCATAGTTTCTTTATACTCTTAAAAATTATCGTGAGCCTCGGAGCGCTTTTGTTTATGTGGGTTATAGCTATCAATTTACTCTATTGTAAATTAAAACTGAGAAAAATTTTAAACATTGATTAGTTCTTTTAAAAAGCTGTAATAAACTTATTACACATAATATAAATGACATTTTATTAAAATAAATATATTATTCCAAAACAAAAGAAATGTGACTAGTCACATAGGTTTGCTGTCTCCTGCCCAATCTCTTTAATATCTGACTTAATAGAAGACAGCTGGATTCTTGTATCTGCTTCTGCATTCAGTTTGATGTTTTGGTTAAAGTAAATAAAGACCATCTGGTTATATATAGAGAGATGCACACACACACACACACACACACACACGTATATGATATATATACTCACACATATATACATATATAATTATATATAATATGTGTATATACACACGTGTAATATATAATTATATAATATATACATATATTTTGTATACATATATATGTATATATGCATGCATGTATATATGTGCATACATATAATATACACATGTATATATTATACATATAAAGTTGAAAAAGGAGGAATATTTTCAGATAATTGTGGATATTTGATACTACAACAAAATTGTATAAGTGGTAATGTCTTAGAGGTTAGTTGCAATGTGGAATCTGAAATGATATCAATGAACTTTCTATACTGTTTTACTAAAATCCATTGGTCTATCAAATGGACCTCTTTATCGATGCATGATTTCATAACATCTTACCTTTTTCATGGAAAATATTGGTCTATATGGTGATAAATATTTTCTAAATGTTCACACATTTCATTGTACAATATTAAGTAATCAAAGATTAAGATTTAATAAAAATGTTTCTTATTTTTTTCATTTAAGATGTTCCTATGTAACTAGCTTTTTTTTTTTTTTTTTTTTTGAGATGGAGTTTTGCTGTTGTTACCCAGGCTGGAGTGCAATGGCGCGATCTCGGCTCACTGCAACCTCCACCTCCTGGGTTCAGGCAATTCTCCTGCCTCAGCCTCCCGAGTAGCTGGGATTACAGGCATGCGCCACCGTGCCCAGCTAATTTTTGTATTTTTAGTAGAGACAGGGTTTTACCATGTTGACCAGGATGGTCTCAATCTCTTGACCTCGTGGTCCACCCTCCTCAGCCTCCCAAAGTGCTGGGATTACAGGCTTGAGCCACTGCGCCCGGCCGCTTTTTGAAATTTTTTCTGAGTGTGTGGTGCATGGCATGATTACAGGTCCAGTTTGTGTCACTGCCTTGCTTCATGCTAAGGTGCCAGCTGTTTCCTAAACTATTGTTTTTGAGCATAACATTAATAACTTTGAGGTATTTATTTGTGTGTTTGCGTGTCCATCTCAACTGGTGTAACAATACTAATACGATTAATTTTCTTGGAGCACCTGCTCTGTGTCCAATATAAATTTTTATAGGAATTGACATTTATCCTTACAACAACCCTGGCAGCAGATTATATCCATTTTATAGATAAGAAAGAAAAGGCACAGGATTACACAGGTCATGTAAGGGAACACTACTAGAACTCTGAAGTAGAAGTAGGAAATAGCATTGGAGGATGGTTTGAGGCCAGATAGCAGTGTGTCAGCCCGTGAGTTTAGACATAATTCTGTGTGCAGTGGAAGCCACCAATAGTTTTAGGATGGGGGACAGGCACACACTAACCACAGGAGCTAAGGTTTAAGTACACAGTCATTCCACTCATATGAGGCAAACTTAGAGGCAAATACAGGCGTCAGGAAGGGAAGTAAATGATACAGAGGTCTATGGGATTACTCTCTAGAATAAAGGGTTACATAGAATTTCCTAAGTGGCATGTCTCTCCCACAGTTGTTTTCTGTCATGGAATTGACCAAAATGTCAGACATGACAAAGCTTCACCAAGCTGTGGCTGCTGGAGACCACAGCTTAGTGAAGAGGATTTTGAAGAAAGGTCTCTGTGACCCAAACTACAAAGATGTAGACTGGAATGACCGGACCCCACTTCACTGGGCTGCAAGCAAAGGTGAGTGGGCAATGCTTCGGTAGATCTGTCCTTTTGAGTCTACCATTCATTCATAAGGATATGAATGTGGGGGAGTGGAAGAAACATCTCTTTAGAGTCAGATAGAACATTCCTTTCTCTCTCTCTCTCTTTCTTTTTTCTTTCCTTTCCTTTCTCTTCTTTCTTTCTTTCTCTTTCTTTCTGTCTTTTCCTTCCTTCCTTCCTTCCACTCTCTCTTTCTCTCTCTCTCTCTTTCTCTCTTTTTTTCCTTTTGGAGGCAGAGTTTCACTCTATCATCCAGGCTGGAGTGCAGTGGCATAATCTTGGCTCACTACAACCTCTGCCTCCCCAGTTCAAGCGATTCTCCTGCCTCAACCCACCGAGTAGCTAGGATTACAGGTGTGTGCCACCATGCCCAGCGAATTTTTGTATTTTTAATGTAGACGGTGTTTCTCCATGTTGGCCAGGTTAACTCCCGACCTCAAGTGATCCACCCGCCTCAGCCTCCTAAAGTGCTGGGATTACAGGCATGAGCCAGCAAGCCCGGCCCCAGATAGAACATTTTAATCCTCACATCACAGCTTATTAGTTGTAGCACCTCAAGCAAGTTATTTACTGTCTCTGGGCCTCAGATTATTCACCTAATTAACGCATGCAGGAATGCCACCTTGGAGCCCTGTGATGGGGATTCAGTAAAATAGTGAGTGTACAGTGCCTATCATATAGTCTGCTCTCAGTTAATATTAGTCCTTTGCCCTCTCAACACAAATAGAGCATCACAAAGAAGGATAGGGAATTTGTTTCGTTCATCACCGAATCCCCCATGCCTGACATAGCTCAGTTGCAGAGTTGGAGGAGGATAGCGGCAAAAACCCAGGCAATGGGCTTCTCAAAGGCTTTGGTAATAGAAAGTCATTAAAGAATGTTAAGTAAGAAAGTGCTATGGTCAACTTTGTGTTTTAAACATTTATTGTGATTCCTGTGTGGAGAATGGGTTGACAAGAAGCAAGGCTGGCTGCAGATAAATTAGTTGGGATATTTTTGCAAAAATCTAAGTACAAAGCGAAGGTAGCTATACTGAAGCACCTTTTAGTAAATATTTGCTATGTGTTAGGCACTGTGTTGTGTACTTCATGTCTTGATTTCACCTGCACTCCACAAGAATTCAATGATATAAGGAGTAATATCCTTAAGTTGCAAATGAGGAAACTGGCCTCAAATATTTGTTTCTTGTCTGAGGTGCCACTTGTTAGCAAGTGGGACTGTCGGGATCACATCTATCAGCTAGAAAGCCTGTGCTCTTAACCTGTGCTACCTGTCATGTAAGTATGACTCAAAATATTTGTTTTTGACTCAGCGTTGAGACTGCCAAAAGCAGAATGAGCTTTACCAATAGGCAGGTTGGGTGGCCTGAGAGAAAGAAAGATTCCTATGCAGGTCCTAGGGCAATGCATGGGGGAGGGGGGTGTCCTGGAAGGAGGACAGGAAAGGCTTGTAGGGCTCAGGCCCTAGGTGGGAACAAGGTTCATAGGGTGAGGTAGGGCACTGAGTCCCTGGTGAGATGAGGGAAAAGAGAGGGAGAGATGATGATAGGAAACTGGAGGCTCCTCAAAGGCAGTTTCCCCTTCTATTGTGTTACCCTGGCTGGCCCTGGCCTCAGGCCACTCGGGACATCTTTATCCTAACCTCATTCTGTTTCTTCTTGGTACATCTAAGGGCAAATGGAGATGATACGGCTCCTGATAGAATATGGAGCCAGGCCCTGCCTGGTTACCAGTGTGGGCTGGACCCCAGCTCATTTTGCAGCGGAATCAGGCCATCTGAATGTACTCAAAGCTCTCCATGCATTGCATGCTGCCATCGACGCCCCTGACTTCTTTGGAGACACACCAAAGAGGATTGCACAGATCTATGGGCAGAAAGCCTGTGTGGCATTTCTGGAAAAGTAAGTTTATGTATTTTTTCCACCTATAGAAGGAGTAGAGGAAAAGGAGCCTGTGATCAAGATCTTGGCTGATTCTGTGGCCTCAGGTCAATGAAGATGAAATGAGGAAATCCAGTCAATAGACTATTATTTTTATTGATGTTTTTAGTTGAGTTATTTTTTTTAATGTTTCACTGAAAAGACTAGTTTGGGGGTCAAAACTATATTAACATGTTTTAGATTATACAAAAATTATCTCAGATAAGAGAATTCGGATACCAAGTTTGAAGGTGGGACATGGTGCAAGAATCACGACCTTCAGCTTTCTGAAAGGCATCCAAACTAGCTGTGTGACCTTGTGCAAGTCAAGGCAGCTTCCTGATCCTCAGTTTTTTTCATATTTATAATGAGGCAGGTGAATTAGATTTCTATTTTTCAGTACACTCCTATCTTTTAAAACTTCTTTGTTCATCTGTAAATGCCCTACTTACACACACACTAAAGAACTTACACTCTTGTTTATTTTTTTCAGTCAAGCATTCAAACATAATTAAGCACTAATAATTTGCGTAACAATTATAGCTCTGAGAGGGATAGAACAATATTTGGAAACTTAGAATTTGATTGTTTTGACAAGCAATTAATACAAGAGAAAGTAAAGTATCGGAATGAGGGCATTGTTGCTTGGAAACCAAGTGATGTAGACAGTAATGCTATCTACAGGGGCAGTTCATGACAGGGTGCCCTCCGAAGAACCTGAAAATCTAGTTATATTCAGAAAGTTGAACTAGTGAAGATTTTGCCATGATGCGATTACTTATCTGTAGAAGTAACCCAAGAGACGTTCTCTTAAAGGTAATGTCTTACATTAAAAATATCCAGTATCACAATCGAGATGATTTGGAGAGTAAAGAAGCAGAACCTTAAGTCCTGACTCACAGACTCACTTTTCCCCAATTTCGGCCATCATCCCCTGCATTCCATGATCTCCATCCGCAGTGGACCTCAGCATCAGCAGACATTGTTCTTTGAACTTTTAAAATCCGAATATACCACAATGTGACCATAGCTCTCTTCACTTTTATCAGTTCCTGGACTATCACACAGGTCTTTGAATTCATCAAGATCTCTTGTCACTGAACTTCTCCTTTTTCTCCTAATCTATCACCTTTCTGAAAGTCTCACTAAATTTTTTCTACAATCTGGATACCATAAGATACTCCATTCTTCCTTTATTATCTTACTTTATTAACTAATAAAAAGTTAACTATAACTAATAACTGTCTTCCCACTATTCCTGCTATTAATTCTCAACCCAGCATATAACCCAAAACTCCCAACCTTAGATCAATCTCTGTCTTCTCCACTTCTATGCTTGTTCAGTTAGATAAGATCCCACATGTAAATATACGGTATCAACAGCAGTTTGAATATTTCCACCTTTCTTTGAGCCCTCAGAGCAGCTTCGCTATCTCTTCCTAACCTACTCCTTCATTGGCAATTCCAAAGCCCCATCACCTCAGTCTGTCTCTGAGGTAATCTTTATACATTAGAAAGAATATTGAAGCCATGGGTTACACATTGCTCAACTGCCACACCTGCAGGTTTTATGTACATTTACATAAAAACGTTTATATCAGATCCTCCTTGCCATCCTGTCTATCCTTTGTAAAGTGTTATCCCTTTATACAGACTCTTGATCTAGTTCTCTGTGTCTTCTGGAAAACCATTTATCACTCATGTGTTCTTTGTTACATCTTTACTCTTTTTCTTGTATTTTTAGTGTTTTTCTTTTCCCCTTCCTAAGACTTCTTTTTGGACTGTGAGCATGTTCAAATAGATATTATCAAACACACAAAAAGTTAGAGATCCTTCTGAATTCTGTTGTGTCTTTCTTCTTCCCTACATGTCTAAGCTACTTGAAAGCTAATCTACTTTTATTTTAATCCAAAAGGAAAAGCACTTATACTCTCAGAGTGTCCAACATGTTTTACAGTAATAATTTGTCTAAAAATAGAATTTTTTAATACTTGTGTGTATTTTTTATTGTGATGAAAAACTCATAACATAAAATTTGCCATATTAACTGTGTCTAAAGTTCATCAGTATTATGAACACTTACATTGTTGTGAAACAGATCTCCAAAACTTTTTCATCTTGCAAAACTGAGACTCCATGCCCATTAAACAACTCCCCTTTTTGTCTTCTCCCCAGTGGAATAGAATTTTGACTCTATATAAATCAAGAAACACCTCAATTCTTTAGTAGTTTGTGTTTGCAAGATCTAAGATCATGGTAAACATGAAGTTCTTTAAATCTGGGGGAAGTACAACATGTCCCTCCCCTGACTTGTTAGCAATCAAATTGAGTAGATTTAAGTTGTCTGTTAATTGGAATGATTTATTATTTCATTTTGATCCAGAGGGGAGAGGTGCATTTTGAATATCAAAATTAGATTAGCTTTGAATTTGTACTAAATTGGGAATGTAATAGATTTTCATAAAGTATGTATGCCTTGTTGGAAATGTCAACTGTCTTTACATCTGCTTGTAAAAGTTTCAAAATATGTTTTTCTCTCAGAAGGCAACGTTATTTCATTTGCTTGAATGTTACAATAGGAATGCTTACTGATATTACTTGATAGTCTTATATAACCTTGGAACTTTAACATATATGTGTGTGTGTGTGTGTGTGTGTGTATAACTATAGCAGTATTAATAATGATAGTTTTACTTCTTTGAAACATTAAATTTTAGGAAACCTTTTTTAAAAAAAGCTGATCTATGTAATTGTCTCCACTTCTTCATCTCACCCATGCTACAGACTTCTTCCCCAATCCTTGTACTAAATTGGCTGTCACCCAAGTCATCAGGGAGCTCCTTGTGCTATATCAATTGCCTCTTCTCAAGTCATACCTTACCTCCACTTAACTCAGTATTTAATATTCCTGAAACTCTTCTCCCTTGCTTTATCTGATGCAATTCTCTTTTAGTTTTCTTCTACCTCTCTGATAATTTCTTATGACCTTTTTTTTTTTTTTTTGAGATGGAGTTTCGCTGTTGTTACCCAGACTGGAGTGCAATGGCACAATCTCGGCTCACCGCAACCTTCACCTTCTGAGTTCAAGCAATTCTCCTGCCTCAGCCTCCCGACTAGCTGGGACTACGGGCGTGCACCACCATGCCCAGCTAATTTTTGTATTTTTAGTAGAGACGGGGTTTCACCTTGTTGACCAGGATGGTCTCGATCTCTTGACCTCATGATCCACCCGCCTCAGCCTCCCAAAGTGCTGGGATTATAGGCATGAGCCACTGTGCCTGGCTCTTATGACTTTTAAAATATGTTTTTTCTAAGAATAAATCTCATGATATATTCTTGCATGCCTTTTAAATGCTGACATTCCTCAGGGTCCTGTCTTTGGCTGTCCTCTACTGACTTTCTCTAGGTAATCTCAGCCCCTCCCTAGTGACCAGGGATGAACATGAAATATGACCCCAACATAACTGAAATGCAGGAGGAGTGCTTTCCTTCAAATAGTGGGAGTGCTATTGCCAAGAAAAGTAGGCAGACAGTGTTGAGCCAGCAAAAACAACAAAGTTCAGTCACATCATGTGTTAGTCATCTCTATTTATCAGTTCCCACTAAGAACTTCCCATCTGACAGTTAAAGGGCTTAGGAAGAATAATCCTGAATTAAGGGGAAATTAACTTGGATCTTGAAAGATAGCTGACTGATGGAGGCAGGAGAAAAACTGTTGATTCGGAGTGAACGCACCAACTTGGAAATGTGCATAGGTGTGTGTATATGTGAGAAGGTGAGGGATAATGGAGGGACAGTGTAGGGATGAATGGCCTGGCTAAGCAGAGCATTCACACTAGAGAGGAATGGAGGATAAGGTCAGGTGAGGGGGTGGGTAACCACAGTGAGCCCAGTGAGCCAGGGAAGCAGAAGAGTGATTCACAAGGGAATCACTCATCAGGGGATTCACAAGCTGAAATAAATGCATTAGCAATTTACTTGGGTAGTAGAGGAGTCGGCAGTGGTACTGTGTGGCATTGAAGATGGTTAGACTTTAGGCAAGGGGATTACTTAAGGAATTTCTTATTGATTCACATTTTGAGTAAGTTAGCTCCTGGGATAGGTGATGAAGAAAAAGGATGTAAGAGAACTTCAAAAGAAACCTAGACACTATGTGATCATTTTCTGAATATCTTAGGAATTATTGGGAAACAATTTGGCTTTTGATTCAGCCCCCTAAATGATAAACCAATCATTTAGCAAACATTTTTGAGTTCTGCTGTGTGTGTGTCATTGAGTTAGACACTAAAAAGGACCTAAAATAAACCAGACATAGTGCTAGACATCCAGCAGTTTAACTGCCTGGGAGAAGAAATAACTTGTTTACATAAATAACACTAATGCAAGGCAGAGAGTGACTAGTCAGAGGAGGGACTGGTGTGGTCTGAAGTTTGAAACGTCACCTCCAGCTTGGGGTGAAGGACTAGCAAGTTTTCTGTCCTTTGAATGAACTGTGCTTTTTATAATGGTTTGCACTTAAAATGCTATTTGCCTTGCCTATACCGTTATCTATCCTTTTAAGTTCCATTTGTCCTCATAGTGGTTCAAGTTTTATTTCTGTAAAGTGACTCTTCCAAGTGCCTTTAAGTAAGTCATATAATCACCTTTTGCCTCATACAAAACTGTATATGTGTGTATTTCCTATTGTCTGTGTGTGTATAATGCTCTACTTACCTAATTGTCTATTTATCCATCCATCAATCCATTTACAACAATCTATATTTTTATATAATCCATACATACATATAATACATATGTGATTATGAGTCATTCTCATTTTCTTCCTTATATGATTCTGCACTTTATATTTTATACAAGGAACACATGTCACTTTTATAATTACAAAAAATACAACTAAAAACAATCTTCCAATAATATGCAGGGTGCTCTATAAATGTGAGCACTTCAAGAATTATTGGCACTTTCTTCAAGCTAAATGACTATCTTTGAGTCTGTTAACATCTCACTCAGGTCACACGATTTTTCTTTCCCTCCAAGTAGTTTCTTTAGTGTCTGAGACCTTCCCTAAGTGTATGCTTGGAATTGCTCAAACTTGGCCTCCTTCCTTCTCAACTGAACTGCTGTGTGCAGAGCCTGTGAAGAGAGGCCAACTTCAAGTGTGGGGCAGGCTCTCCTGCTCCAAGTTCAGAAGCCCATCTCTTCTTTCCTAGGGCAGAGCTCAAGTGCCAGGACCACCGCCGTGCTGCCCACCAGAAGGGGCTGCCTCTGGATGAGCGTGATGAAGACTGGGATGCCAAGAAAAGGGAGCTGGAGCAGTCTCTTCCTTCCCTAAATCAAAACATGAATAAAAAGAATAAGAAAAGTCGAGGCCCTACCAGGCCCAGCAATACCAAAGAGAAGACAGTATGAGAACTCAAATTTACATTTTCTGGCAGGGGACTTTCCCTGGTGCCAGAATTGAGGCTGTTAGGCTTGGTGGTCTTTCTATGACTTCACTCATGGACCCTTACCCACCTGGTTTCTGCGAAAGCCCATAAACCTGCCATTAGGTGCTGTCTGCATAGGCTGTTGTCTCTTGGCTAGCACCAACAGTGTACAACAATTACCAGGAGAGGACACACCTGCTTGCTTTGGTCATTGGCGGTTTGCGCGGTCAGCATCTTCTGTCCCCTCCCCCACAACAGTGATAGAATTTCAGGGACAAGGAAACTCTGCCATGAATTAACTTCATCCCTGATATCTAAAAAGATAATATAAAATAATGAACATGTAGTTATAGGTCTACTTTTTCAACTGTAAACTTTGGGAAATTACATTCAGATCAGATAATGCCAATAAAAATTGCATCCAAACTGAGATGCAAAATACATATTAGATTTTAAAGACAGTACAAAAATATAAAATGTCTCACTAATAATATTTAATATTAATTGTACATTGAAATGATAATATTGTAGATATTGGGTTGAATAAAATATATTACCAAAATGAATTTTACCTTTTTCCTTTTACTTTTTTAAACATGTGGCTACTAGAATGTTTAAAATTACCCATGTGGTTTTTATTTTATTTCTATCAGACAGTCCTGCTATAAAACTCAAACAACATGTTAAGCTTCCACTAGGAGACTAGTCTGGTGTATTTTACTTTTCCTGGCTGCTCCACATTTTAGATATACTAGTTTCTCTGCCTACATCAATTTATTTAGCTATTGAATATCTTTAAGTGCACATTCATCAATTAATGTTTGCATTAATACAATGCTTAGTTTGAATTTTCTGGAATGAAAAAAAATGCTTGAATATCTTATAGGAAAGCAGTATAGCTAAAGAGGATACTTTCCTCATGTTGATCTACCCCTGAGCATCAATCCCTTTCTGTATGCTCTACAGGGCAGACTGGTTCATGTGTTGGACCACTACAAACATTGGAAGACACCTGACTCGAGGTGGAATAATAAGATTCTCTTGGGTACTTGAAAAGAAGTCCTCATGAGAGGCTATACCAGTAGCATATGACTTCAGAAGTATGGTGTGGCTAATTCTACATAAGAGCTGAGGAAGGGTACAGAGGTGAGGAAGGGTACAAAAAGGACAAGAAGGCTGAGGAAAAGACAAAGAGAGATAGGCCCGTAAATACATGAATAGATAGATAGATCAGATAGCTAGCTAGATAGATAGATAAATAGACAGACAGACAGATAGATAGATAGATAGATAGATAGATAGATAGATAGATAGATAGACAGACAGACAGACAGACAGACAGACAGACAGACAGACAGACAGACAGACAGACAGATAGATAGATAGATAGATAGATAGATAGATAGATAGATAGATAGATGAATAGTTAGATAATTTGCTGTTCCTAGTTCTGGTTCCTTACTCAGGAATTTGTAAAATACTATTTAATCATAAAGTTTTCTTTTAGTTACAGTACATTGAATTGATTGTTTTCCTTGCAAGCAGACTTTTCTAATAAGTACAGTATTTTAATCATGGGCTTATGAGTAAGGCTTACTTAGGTTTGTATCCTTCTCTACAGAAATGGGTAAAGGAATTCCCATTTCCTGGGGTTGCTGTGAGAATGAGATGGACAATGTGTGCAAGATGCCAGCATTGGTACATTGTAACTGGTCTAAGTCATGACTGTTGTATTACTGTAGAAGTGAGTTCAGTTTTCCCCTGGGAATCTTAAGGGGATCCAGGAATAATGCTCTTTATAAGTCAAATAAGGCTTTCCATTGTCCAGTCCATAAATATCCCCTGTCTAGTTTTATGAAATGGATAATAGCCTGTCCTCCATTGGCTGGACAAAACTGTCATAAGCAAAGTATCCTTGAGGGTCTCTTACTGTGTCCATGATCCAATGGCCTCCCAGTGGCCTCATTGTGTACCCATTTCATATTTAATCTCATTGAAATATAAAGAGACTTATGTCCTTTACAAATTTTGAGTTAGCAAATGAGAACCACAGGAAGAGAAAGCTAAAATAGCTCCTTTGTATGAACAATTTGATGCAATATAAACTCTGTACTAAGTGCTTTGCATGTATGATATCTAATCTGCATGACATACCTGCAAGGCAGGTATGATTATCCCCAACTGACATCCCAAACTGAAGTTCTGAGAGGTTGAATGACCTGCGCTAGGCCACCTGACCCGCTTGTGCAGGCTGGAAAGCCTGGCTGGATTTGGTTGGTGGCCTAACCTTTTAAGCTCTAAGACCTTCAGCAGGTTGCTTAACTTCTCAAGTTACTCTTCTGTAAACAGGGATAATTATGTCATAGGGTTGTGATGAGGATCAAATGAGATAATGCATGTCAACTGCTTGGTACAATGTCCTCCACAAGGTGGTGGTCATCAAATGTTAGTTGCTGTGGTAGTTATTATTTTTCACAGCCTTCAGTGTTCCAGATATGTAACAAAGAAGAATGGCTTGCTACAAGGCATCTCCCTCAGTCCAGAGGGGGAGATTTGGGGTGGCATCATTCTCTGAAGCCCATCAAAACCCCAAATGAAGCTGTCCACCTATTTTCTTTCCCCTGAGTTTGAGCTCTCCACTGAGTAGCCTTGGGGCTGAGACTTGTCCTTTGCAAAGTACCTGAGCCATAACAGATGGACTTCCCACATCTTGCCTTCGTTCTGCCTGTCCATTTCATTGGGGTCTATTTGAGGATTTGCAGCAGTTGGAGGGAGTGGTATTTGTGGTCCTTGTCTATTCTCTCCCACCCTCACAGGCAGGGAGAAATTAGCTGTTTATGTCATGTAGGAAGTAGAGGCAATATCATATCATAGAAAGGACAGTGGAAGAGGAGAGGCCATTCTGGGTTTGACTTCCCCTGGCACTGGCTATGTGACTGTGGGCAGTGATTCTGGGATGGGATTCCTTACTTATAAAACAAAAGGGTAGAACCAGATCTCCAAGATCACGTCTATTGCTGATATCATATCAGAGTCCAGAATCTTTAGACCTAGACTGTCTAATAAACCAAGATAAAGCAGGATGTTGCCCCTGAAGAATTCACACCAGGCATCCAATCTACATATTTAAATTAAGATGTTCACATTCACTAGAATCACTAATTTTGGATCTATACAAAATCTGAACTCATTAAGGAAATGACAACAATGACTCTTCTGTCACTAGGGAAGATCTAAAGTCAGCACAATTCTCCCTCCCTTCTTTTGTTTTACCAGTTGTCAAATGTTTATAAAGCCATACTTCATGCCTAGCACTATGCTAGATTCTGAGAATCAAAAGATAAATAAGGCCTGAGTAGGCTGTGTGCTCCTGAGGGTACTTTTTCAACTTTGGATATCTATTATCTAGCTGAGTAATTATAAATGTTTGCTAAAAGAAAATTAAGCAAGTGATGATTAAAATATTAGAAGATACCTTTATCTTAGCATTATAAATGAGAAATCAAAGCTGTTATGGGTTGAATTGTGTCCCCTCTAAATTTATATGTTGAGATCCTGATTCAGTTCCTCAGAAAGTGACCTTAATTGAAAATGGGGCCATTGTGGACATAACTAATTAAGTGGAGTGGAGTGGAGTGGGCCTCTAACCCAATATGACTGGTATCCTTCTTGAAGGAGACACGCATTGAGGAGAGAGGATGTGAAGAGACATAGGGAAGAGATGACCATCAACACACAAGGGAGAGAGGTCTGCAGCAGATCCTTCCCTCACAGCTCTCAGAAGGAACCAACCCTGCCAACACCTTGATTTTGAACCTCCAACTGCCAAAACGATGATGAAACATTGAATTTCTGGTTTAAGCTACTCAGTGTGTGATACTTTGTTACGGCAACCCCAGCAAACTAATTCAGAAGCTATTGACTCTTGGTTCTGAACTACTTCCATTATATAACCAAGAGGGTGAGTAGCACCATGTATGTCCAGGGCTCTTCTGCATAGCATTTATGTCTTTATTTTGGCCAATGACTGAATTTTACAGAAATATTTTCTTGTCCATGGGAAGATTTTTTATATCTTATTTTTATAAAGCAATATTTACTGTGGATTCTAAGAATTGTACCATGGAACACTGCATTCAGGATATGTCCCCATGAAATAAAAGCAACTAGTTAGAAACATTAAAAAATGCAACATGTTATTTTTTAGTATTTATATTATCAAAAAGAATGTTGGATCTATTTTGCTTAAATATATCTATTATTTGTCATTCCTTGAGAGAGAATACCAAATACCCTGATTTCAGCCAAAAACATTGTTAAAGTTTTTTCTTAACGGTTTTCAGACCTTTGGAATTAAGGGCAACCTTTTATTTTCTGTTTATGTCTTATATACACCCTTGGGAGGCAATGTTACTTTAAAAGTTCCTGAAGAGAAACGTTATAAGTTAAACAAAACAAGCATCTAACAAAAACCAGTTTAACCAGATCACATATGTCACACTGAATTATTCTGTGATATTTAAAATGATTGATTCAGTTCATCTTTTAATATTGCAACATTGATTTGCGAGACAATAATATCTTGACTCCTGCTTTCCACCCTCCACATTATTAAATGAAGAGGAGAAAAATTTAGAAGATAAAGTGACTACAATGTGGATTATGAAATCTCTCAAGAAGGAAATTCTTAAAACTACCTTGATCGACTGGGCACAGTGGCTCACGCCTGTAATCCCAGCACTTTGGGAGGCCAAGGAGGGCGAATCATGAGGTCAGG